CATTGTACGTGTACAACGTGCAAATGTATTTTCGCACAGTCTGATATTATTTACACACACAGAAAAACTATATAGTTGACAAAGAATTTTTCTTTTTTTCGTTTGTGTTTCCTCCCTATATTATTTCACAAATATATATTTTATTAAATATGACATGTACGAACAAAACGCGGTCTAATTTGTGTATATCGAACTTTTAATAGGTTTTTGGGTAGTAACGTTGTCGTCGATTTCGTCCTTCGGTCACGATAATAATTCGTATATATATATATATATATAGGAAGGTTGATTTAAACAAGCGGTAACGTCGAACTATCGCCCAATAACTTGTATGTACGTGACGAGTAGTGCAAACCGCCGATTACGCATGCAAATAGAGTATTATAATACTGCAAAACTTATTACGAAAATTCATCGAACGAGGAGACCAACACTCATTCTAATTTTCTCTTCTCTTCAATTTTCCCAAAACTACGAAGTGCGATTTACAAAAGCTCGTTTTAATCTAACACTTTGTTCATTTCTAATTGTTAACTATAATATTGTTTTTTCTTTTGTTTCATTTTCGGCCTAAAATTTCAAGATTTGTTAATTAAAATTTTGATTCGATGAATTTTCATTAATAATTTGCTACAGAGCGTCTCGAACCAAAACCGATTGCGTCCAAACCTCTATTATTTCTTTTACTATATTTACTATAATATACATTGTACTATGTCCTTAATAGAAACACATACACTTAACACGAAGAAACAAATGTTTGTCTTATTATTATCTCTCTCTCTCTCTCTTTATCACACTCACTTTTTACATCTAATCTCGTTCCTTTTTTTAAAAAATACTGACACTCGCATAAACATACAGAATATATTATCGAAATAAGAATATTGTATACATCGTGTCCGTGAGACATGTAAATATAAACAATAAGTTTTCTTCTTGTATTTTCTAAAAAAAAAAAATAGTATTTACATTTATTCCTATATGAAATTCCACATTTATGCATGTTTTATTTCAGAATAGTAATAATGCATTATAATTTGCAAAAGAGAAAGAATTAAAAACAATTTAAAAATGTAAATTCAAATGAACTCAACGTGGGATATCGCAGAAGTGAATCGCATGGGTGTAGCGTATTTCATTTTATTTCGATCGACCTCAAAGGATACTAAATCCCAGTTTGCTATCATCAAAGAAGACGATTTGCGAGGACAGAGAAATAACATCAAAGGGGTACGTAAAAAAAAAAGTTAATTAATAAATAATAATAACAACAACAACAACGTATAATTAAATAACAATCGACATATAGAATATTGTCGAATTAAAATAAATAATATCGAGATTAGTAGAATAACCTTGTTAGTAGCCTTTAACCCTCGTAACGAACTAGTCCACTATAATCTTGTATTTCTCTGTTATCCTCTCCCTTGAAAATGCATATCTACACCTATAACATCAACATACACATACGTATGTGGAATATATCGAGAAATGGTTTACAGGAACAACGGGTACTTACACTTAGTAGAGAAAGAGAAAGAGAAGGTGTATCTGACAGAACCCTAGCCAACATGGTTTCGAAAGCACTCATTAGTCAGTGAAATGCGGTCACGAAGTGACAACTCGCACATAGAATATTATACGGTCCAAGAACTTCCATCTGTGTACTCATATCGCGAAGCCCGCTAGTGAGACAGCGCGTCGGTACTCTCGCGACTGTTTGTAACTTTCGCATTATACACCCTTTGTCCGTGATTCGACAGTTTCGACAGTTTCGCAATGGAACGTTAGAATGTGCCAGACCGACCAAGCGAAAACGCTTGCAAACGACGTTAAAGTTCAATCGGACCGCCGCATCTGGGGTCCAAACCGACAACAATTTTTCTCCTCACATATATATATTTTTTTTATTCTTTTCATCATTCCATTTTTTTTTTTTTTAGCAATCTTCTTTCGATATTTTGTTTTCTTTCTATATTTTCCTCTACTCTGTTCATTATATAATCAAATCCTCCACCTTCTGTTTATTATTTTGTACTTTGCATCTAATTTGTTTCAAATTATCGATAAGAAAAAAAGCCACGATTGATGGTGTTATTACTGAAAGTGAAAAATCTTGGATAAAACAGAAATTTCGTTGAAATTTCGTGTAAAGAAATTTTGAATAGAAATGTTCTAGTCTATTCTATGTGTGTTTGTCTGCAGTTGAATCTCAGTCGCTTTCACGGTCTGTCATGCAGAAAAATTGACTCAGTCCAATCGTCTTGTGGGTGAATCAAGGAGTCAAGGACTTTTCCTTTAATCGCATTGACTCCTCTCTAACTATGCCACTGTGCATAGCAGCTTTGAAGCTTCATCTGCAAGTGTAAGCTTTGTAATTCGTTTAATGAAAATTTCTGTTCGTTTGCAACGTTTGTACGCACAGATGCGTTATAATCTCTGTTTCTCTCTCTCTCTCTCTCTCTCTCTCTCTCTCTCTCTAACTAATTTTACCTATGCGAAATCATCTCTCTCTCTCTTTCTCTCTCTCTTTTGCTCTGGAAGAAATTAAGGCCGCTCTACAAACATCAACTCTCTTTCTACTTTCCGCTTATTTCTCGTAAGCCTATCAAGTTATTCGAAGGCTTCGTACAGCAAGCATACTTTGCATCGTTGGTAAATCTTCCACCTACGAGCTTTCCAAAGATCAATGAAGAAAATTTCACGCGAAACTGGAACGCTCCTTTCCTCGGTTGAACCACGACGAGAATATAAACGAGAGAGAGAGAGAGAAAGAGAGAAGAGAAAGTAGGAATCGTCGATGATTTCCTAAACGGTATTTTGCATCGATCGAGATTTCCATCGATGTCCGGTCCACGGTGATACTGTAAGTAGGTATGTAGGTACGTACCAATCGAATTGATCTTCCAATCAGTGACTCAACTCGACTAATCATCCATCCGGTCTCTTAATTAACTCAACCCTGTCTTTGATATGCAGATGTATCCGTGATCGACAGATTTCTTTTCTGGATTAGAACGAGGTCATTGCATCTATCTGTCCTATTCGCATATAAAAAAAAAAAAAATAAAAAGAAAAAAAAATGGAAAAAGGATAATGGAAAACGAAGTTAAGAGGATGATACGTCGATTGAGATAGTCGATTTTCAAGATAGACGTTTCCTGATCATGATTATTTTCGATTTCTCATCAAATCAAAGTGTTCACCTTGAAGTTTATTGACTCTCTCGGTGCATCTTCATTTTCTCTCTCTCTCTTAGATCTTAAGAAAAAAAATAGGAAAAAAAGGGACATTTTAATATATATATATATGTAAGTGAACACACATTCTCGAATATCGTCCGTTACTCTTCGATATCCACCAAGTGGCGAAAAACATTTGATCTGCCCCAACTTCTTGATTAATGTATCTCTAACAACTAGGTGAGGCTCGACCTTAATTACCGTAATTCTCCTTGATACCTATACGTCTCTTCTTCGATGGACGAGAACAGTGATTAGCGCGCTTCTTCGTGAATCACGCGTCATTTGCATCGTAACGTTCGAGAGCTTTCAAGAAGGTACCGGAGAAGAGGAACGTGCAACCTTAGCTAAAGTGATTCTTAATCGTAGTATAGTACTCCGGGCTATCTTATTTATCCTGTCGTTTACTTTCTCGTCTTCTCATTCAAAATTACTGACGCATATATGAAGTAATTTATTGCATGCAACAACGTTTCTTTAATAAGAATAAATAAAATTCTAATTAAAAAGAAGAAGAAGAAGAAGAAGAAGAAAAAGAAGCAAAGCAAGGATTTTGATTTGAAATTTTTGTAAAATGATATAAGAAAACATAATATATGTGAAAATAGTAGTAGTAGTAGTAGTAAAATAATCATTTGATCGTAGATTCAACACATCATCCCCCCACCCCGTAAACCAAGTAGTATCCTTTTCTTCGCGTGCCATAGTTCCCATGTGGGGATATCAATATTGAAACGTAAAAAAGATTCAATCAGTCGCGAAGTTTCAGCGCCAATCAATCACTCCCTCCTGTCTAGCCACCCATCCGTGGCCGCCACCTCTCTCTCTCTCTCTCTCTCTCTATTTCTCTCTTTCTCTCTCCTTCTTACACCTCCTCATCCTCCTCTTCTTCAGCATTTCGCTTTAGGACGCGAAAGCTCTCTCGCGCGCGCAGCTTGCACTGGCGCGCCTGATCGCAACGGCGGCGCTAAAATGGCCGAGAGGGTTTTCCAAGAGGAACACAGTTGAGAGATAGGGGTACATAGAGAGATAGAGATAGAAAATGAAAGAGATAGATAGATAGAGAGAGAGAGAGAGAATCACCCGAAGCTTTAGGGGGTTGCACGACGGAGTCGACGCACTGGAAGCTCTCCGTGCTTGCGGCGGGAGCCTTCAGTAGCCGCTCGGACGTCGACCGGAAAAGCTCCGGTGCGTGTGTTACGCGTCCTATCTTTTTTAAAACGACGTTATATTATATCGTATAGAAATAATACTAAAAAAAAAAAATTAAAAAAAAAAACACGAAAAGAAAGAAAAAAGGAACGGGATTCATATATTTGATTATTGACATATTTTTTTTTTTATCTTTCATCAACGTAGAAGACAATTTTAATTTGATCGAAGAAGATATTAATCTATTTAAGTTTGATTTTTTTCTCATCCTCTCTACCACCCCTTTCGATCGACGAATTCTACACATTTTTTAGATATTGTTGTTCGATTTACATTTAAAAAAAAAAAAACGAAAGAAAACACACATATACACGCACGCAAACGAAAAGAGAAACAGTTGTTGATCGATTTAAAAAAAAAGAAAAAGAAAAGAAATAAAGTTATAATTATCTTTCAACTTTTCGTGATATCAAATAAGGAGGAAACAAGGGTGACGACGAGTGTGGTACTATAATATTATATAAATAGTGTGATACGAAATAACGGATGGATCGTTAAACGATTAGTGATATGAACGTGATATTAAGCGAAAGTGTTGTTTGAAATATGAACGATCGTCAGTGATCATCTGCCAGTGTCACGGAAAGGCGTTCGCGCGTTTCTGTGTGGTTGTATGTGCTATTACGAAGGTGGGGTGGTGTGGATAATTGCAATACGAGAGCGATACACACGATGATGATAAGTGTCGCGAAATACCGAGCCGCGCGTCGTCCTTCCCTTTTCGTTTCGCTGCTTTTCGTCGTGTTCGCCGGCACCGTAACCGGTAAGAAAAAGAAGAAGAAAAAGAAGAAGAAACTAAAAAGTACAACAACAAAAAAAGAAAAATAAAAAATTCATCATCAGACTCGCGTGTTAAACCATAAAACTCACTCACGGTTTATTTTCATTGACGAATGATCCGCGTACTATCGACGATTACGCGATTAATATTATATAACAATTTTTTTTTACGATCAACCTTTTTCAAAGGAATTGATAAAAGATTATTTAGAAATCATCATTTTTTTGTTTTTATCACATTTGCTGTAATATCATAATCGATAATAGAACATTATAATCGATAATAAGTTTAGATCGTTATTTTTCAAAGATCGTTCCAGCCGACGGTAACGTTAATCGATTTTACGTCAACCTTCTGTAGAAAAATAAGAAAATGGTTTTTATTTTGGGGGGGGGGTGGAGTGGTTGTGGGAGGATACTTCGATCGATCTTACACGATCGATCACTTTAACTCGGATTCGTAGGATTATAACATTGACCTCCTCCTCGTCGTCGTCGTCATCGTTATCGTCATCGTCATCGTCGTTGTTCCGATCTCTCACGAATTCATGAACAACAACAACAGAGTCTGCTTTTCAATCTTGATCAATCTTACAAAAAAAAAAAAAAAACGAAAGAAAGAAAAAGAAGACGACTTGATCGAAACGATCGTCGCGTAACATTGTTGTTCACTAGGTATAACCTCTGTACCGTAAATTCCTTTCGTTAACTACCTACCCCCCACACACACTACTACTATCCCTTATTTCTCGGTATAGGACAGAATACTACACGACGATAAGAAAAACAACCGGCGCTAACCGTACTCGTCCGTTTCATGATGAAAGAACACAGTATGTCGGATATGGTGAGACGAAAGGGTCCGATTTCCTTCTCTTTGTGCGAGACTAAACGTTCGTCGGATGGGATTAAAGCAGTCCTTTGTATATCGATATACCGAAGTTAGCTTACCGTTTATGTTAAAATGAAGATAGAGAAACATTAACAGTTATAGAATAGAAAATAATCAACGGAGAATGTTGGATAGAATTTTGAGAAAATTGACTAACAGTTATTTTTATATACCTGTTAATTAATAATAATTATTTTAATATCACATCTGATGATGATATCTCTGTTTTTCAACCCGTCGGATGTTAATTATTCTCGTCGTAAGAATTATAGGAAGAATAAAAGAAAAAAAAAGCAAGGTGTTGAATACGAAGACAATAAAGTTTCGAATCGTATCGAATTGTGGGGTTGTGTTCGATCGATTGAATTAATTGAAACGCGTGTTTTCGTCAGGAATCGTAGAGAGAGAGAAAAAATAACTACATAAAAATCGGTGCTTTACCAAACTGCATGTTTTTTTTTCCCCTCGTATTCGCAAGTGGGAAATCTTAATTAATTCGATTTCATGTGGGTAGATGTAGAGGGTGGTGGAGGAGGAGGATGAGGAGACGTTCATCGAGACTCATTCGCGCGAACGCAAATATTCGTTGGTTGGTACGTACGAATTTGTTGAAGTTGGTAGTAGTTTAATTATCGGATTCTAATATAAATCCCAGATACGATTTAATAAATATAAATTCGCTATTGCAAATATATATATATATATATATGTAATTAACGGGTGCAAATATTCGTACTTGCTCGTGGTCGTTTTAATAAAATTGATCGGATAAATTTTACGAGAAACAATCGGACGAACGAACGTACGAACGTACGTACGAACGAATGAACGAATGAACGAACGAATGAACGAATGAACGAACGAACGAATATTTCCTATCGACCTCTTCCCCCTAAGCCCGAATTTGACAAAAAAAAATTTAATTAAACGTCCTACCACGGAATGATATTTGCACGAGGAAATTACGTAACAGAGTGTTTCTTTTGCAAAGAACACTCGTTTGCTAGATCGTTCCAGCCGATCTGTGAACTTTCTACTAAAGAGTGTAAGAGAGAGAGAGAGAGAGAGAGAGAGAGAGAAGCTTCATAGTTCTTTCTTCGTTCTTCGTGCTATTAAACGATGCGAGAGAAATGATTCGTCGGAACTTAACCGAGTCAAATTTCTTTCTACTTTTACGATCTTAAGCGAAGCACCTTTTCTTTCTCTCTCTCTCTTTCTTTCTTTCTTTCTTTCTTTTCCTCTTTCTCTTTTTTTAACTCTTTTTCTTCCGTTCTTTCAAACGATTGAAATCGATAAGCATTGCAACTCAACAGTACCATGAAGAAAACTAAATGAACGATTACGAGAAACTCAATATTCTCTCCCTTGAAGCATTGAAAATGATTCCAAATGAACATTGTCATTTTTTTCCCCTTTTTTTTCTTATGAGCTACCTGTCTAGTATATTCGATATATTATATTCTCTCATTCGATTGTGATCGAAAATAAGTTGAACAATTTTTTTTTTTTTTACAATCCAACGACCAGTCTTTCTCATTCAATAACCCAACTCAACTCAACTCAACCCAACCGCGAAGAATTTTTTTTTGGTCAGATTTGAACGAATAATTAAAATTTTTAATACGACATTATTTCGTTTAAATCGCGATAATAAAGAGAGAACGAAAAAATTGGTACCAAAAAAAAAAAATAAATAAATAAAATACCACCACCAGGAAAAAAAAAGAAGAAAAAAAAAAAAGGACGAAGTACATTGGTAGGTGGTAGGTTTTTTGTTTTTTCTTTTTTTTTTTTTTTGGTCAAAAGCAACAATAGCTTTTGCGAACGATAGGATCAATGACGAGACAGGGATCGTCGACTACTAGATCGCGCTTTTCGTCGGTTCTACACGCAGTTAAATATGATTGGTGGATTGTTGTTTTCCTCTCTACCTACATAGCTACATTTTTTTTTATCTTCTTTTCTTTTTTTTTTTTTGGTTGTTTTTAAATAAATCGAAAGAACACACACGCACAAACCACACGATTCGCAAGGGGGGGGGGGAAGCGAGGGGCGTTGGGTGGGTTGGGGGAGACACGTTAAAAGCTATGAATCTTCTCGATTCTTTGTTGAAATAAACGCACGCAGTGTAAAATAACCTATCGCAGTTAGGTTTTCTCTATCTCTATTCATCATTTTCACGCTTAGATTATAAGAACGGAAAGATTTTCTTGATGAAAGAAAAAAAACAAAACAAAACAAAACAGAAAAAAAGAAATAAATAAAAGTAAGAAAGATAGAAATCGATAGATCGCATTTCATCTCTACTCCAGGCTATACTAATATAAGATAAGCGAGAATAAGTGGATAGGGGAGGGGGTTAAAAGGAGTCGGGGCTATTTAATGGGCAACCCATTCGATGGGTAGAGATGGTTAGACACCATCGGAATATAGCAAGTGCGTGCTCGCTTAGGCGGTTGGATTTACGCGGCGGCATAATTAAAGTGTCACGCTACGAGTAATGTTGATAACGCATAAAAGTAAGAAAATGAAAAATAAGAAGAAGTAGAAGTAGAAGTAGAAGAAACAGGG